AAGAAATACCACACTATTAGAGTTCATACAACCTTTTGACTATTAAGATTTGGATAGAACCTCGAAAAATAGCAATTAGTAACCGTATCATAGAGCAGTAAAAGATATTAGAGAAACGCCGGTGGTGATATGAGAGCGCTCAAACACTACTACACCGTCGAAAAATATGCATACATATAAAACTCTCCTGCCTTTTCTTTTTCATTTTAATGTCAATTTGTTTGAGTTAGTTTAATTCCTTTTCTTTTTATATCAATTTGTTTGAACTTTTTTTAATCTATTCTTGAAACATAAGAAAGTTTGGATTGCAGTTTCTAAATATACATGCATACATAAAGTGATAAAAGAAGAATAGTTGAGAAGGTTAGTTGATTGAAAAAAATTCAAACAATATCAAAATATTTTATAACCAATCAAAATCTATCATTCTTGTACAGTACATCAATTTTATTTTTTGGTTTTGTTTCGATTTTTTTATTAACATGGTTAATTTTGAAAGAGATTAAAAAAGAACATACAAAATTAATTGAAAACTAAAGGATCAAAGAGGGCAATGTTTCTTTTCTTTAAATCCCATGCTCTTACCAATTTATTTGTGTCTTTAAACATATAAACATCATATAAACATCCACAAAGTAAAATCCACCTCCCACATGACACCTCTCTCATTGTCTCAAAGCCCTTCTCTTAAATATATCATGCACCTATCAAAATACTCCCTATGATCATGAAACCACTAGTCTAGTCTAGACTAAGGATTTTAAAGGAGAAAAAGGGGAGCCAAAAATAGAATTTCAAAAAAAAAAAAGTAGTAAGTGAAAATAACCAAAGGTATAATAATATAGCATTCAAGCCAAGCAAGTCATCATGAATCTTTGAAACTCCGGCGATGCCGTCACCTGCCGCCGCGAATTCATTCACTTGGGACCCACCCGCCGAAGATGATAGATGATTAAACGCCAACCAACCGACCGAACAAAACTTCCTTAAAACCACCGATCATCAATCACATCACACTACAACTAGACGTGTTCTCGTCACTAAACATAGCATACTGGTCGGCGCGCTCGCCTGGCGGCGGCGGGTACGGGTACGGCGGATAATGCATCGGCGGAGGCATGTAGTTGACAGCTGGCGGTGGCCTCGCGTACATCATCGGCTGGAACCTCTCGTTCCCATTCGCCCTCTGTTGGTTCATCATCATTGCTGCCATCTGCTGCTGTTGCTGTTGTTGTTGTTGCTGGTGTTGAAAGTACGGGTTCCCTCCCATGTGCTCGGCTCCGTTCATGGCTGGCAAGCCCTGAACGGCCGCCGCCAGATTCCCCATCTGCGGATGATTGTTGCCGCCCATTTGGGGATGATTGCCGCCCAGTTGGGGCGGATTGCTCCCCTTGTTCATTGCCATCATCATGTTAGGCGGCATGCCGTGGTGGGGCCCAGTATCACTCATCCCACCACCCCCTTTCTTCCCCATAAAACCATTCATATTTGGCGGCATACCACCGCCGCCGCTGCCGTTCTTACCCCCCTTTCCGGCAGCCGGACTATTACTGTTATTATTACTATTACCACCGCCGTTCTTGCCGCCGGTGCCGGCGCCGGCGCCGGGCTTCATTCCGGGAAAGGCTCCGCCGCCGCCGCCGCCCTTGAGACCGTTCATCATCATGTTGTTCATGAGGGCGTTGGGCGGCATTTGTGGGCCCGGGATCCCCCCACCTTTTCCACCCATGATGCCGGGCTTGGGCTTGTTGGGAGGAGGGGCAATTTCGTCCATCTCGTCATCGTCGTCGTCAAACTCATCATCGTCGTCATCGAACTCGTCGTCGTCGTCGTCGAACTCGTCATCGTCGTCATCGAACTCATCATCGTCATCGAACTTGCTCGTGCCACCGCCGCCGCCGGGGGGTTTCCCGCCAATTATTTGGCCCTTGCCATTGTGGGCCCCACCACCACCACCGAGAGAGGGCATCTTCATGTCCTTCATGAACTGAGGTGGCATCATCTTCAGATCTTGGAACCCCTTCATAGGGGGGAGCTGGGGGTGAAGGCCCCCTCCTTTGGGCGGGTTGTTGTTATTACCCTTTTGCCCCTGTGGCAAGAGCATCGGCGGTTGCTGCTGCTTGTTATTGTTGTTGTTTTTGTTGTTGTTGTTGTTCTTCCCGCCTTTGCCGGTGTCGAGTTGGAGATTCTTGAGCTGGTTGTTCATTTGGTTTTGGTTGTTGTTGTTGTTGTTGTTGTTGGGCTTAGGGGCGCCCCATAGCTCTGCGTGCTTGCCGTTTTTGGTCAACTTCTTGATGATGGTGGCCGGGTCAACGTTGCCCGACACTGTTACCTTCCCCTGCTCCGAATCTATCTTCATAGTGTACACGCCTGATAACAACAAACCAATTTTTCAATTTTCACCACAATTTCTGTACAACAAAAATTGAGTCCAAATCAAGGACAAAGAGAACTATGAGATACTGGCGATCTGTGAAAGGGAAAGTAATATAGATAGATACGGAATAAGTATCACCAAATTCAGATTCAAATAAATTGGTTTCTCTCTCTATTTTCCTTTTTTTTTTTCCAAATGGGAGAGCCCTGGAGGACAAGTAATGGAATCATACCATCAATCTTCTGCAGGATTTTCTTCACTTTATGCTTACATCCANTCTAACTGAATCAACTGAAAAAGAAAGAAACAAAGGGAAAAAGAAAGCATATACAAGTGTTATTATATTTATGCTACAAAGAATCTTGAAAAATTGAGTAACAAGTAAGAGCCAAACACAACAAGGCCAAAAATGTAGAAACCCAAATTTTCTTCCTCCTAATTAAATTACACAGCCACACATTTGATCTGCAATGTTATGAGTGATATAAGAAAAAGTCACCTGGATCTTCAAGAATTCTTCTTTACTCATCTTTAGCCACTAAAAAACTCAAGAAGCAGGACTTGAAAGACAAACTATCAAACAGGATGGGTAGATCTGAGCATATAGAGACTTGAACAAAGTAATGCTCAGCCACTCAGACAAAACATCACACCAACAGAGAGAGAGAGAGAGAGAGAGAGAGCGAAGGATGAAAACAAGATGTTTTATTAAGTGAGGTAGTTGAAAAACATTAAAAAACTATGCTGGGTTTCTGGTTTCCTCTATTTCAGAGTTAGCAAGAAAGAGAGAGAGAAAGAGATCAATATGTGTGTGTGTGTGTGTGTGTGAGAGAGAGAGAGAGAGAGAGAGAGAGATTATCAAAACAAAATGCAGACTGGCACAGAAGTGGGGGTGTCACACTCTTCACTTCATTGGTTTTGGAACTTTATTTATGGTTTTCTTTTCTTAATTAAATAAACATAAATGAAAATTAAACTCTTTTTGTCATTATATTGAACTATCAAATTTATTAGTGTTTTTTTTTTCAAACTTGATAACAGAGAAGGTGGTGATGATTGTGCCATAACCCATCTTTTTTAATTCTTACTTTCTGGTCCTTCAAGTGTTCATTATTTTTTATATCAATTTGGGCTTTTGATTGGGCTACTGAAAGGCTGTGGCTTGGCTTCATATTGAGCTTCAGAGCTTTGCTTTGTGGCTTGGCTTAACTCTACCATGGTAGGTCAATTTAACTCTGAAATTTAACTATGGTAAGGTGTAATAAAACCTGGTTAACATATGAAACATTTATTACCACGCAGATATGAAGGAGTTTGTTGTCAGATTTTTTCCTCCTCCATAATATTGGTTGGTACAATCAATTTTTGTCATTTATTATGGTATATTATTGTAACAAACAACTAGTGCTCATATTCGTTACACGACTATGCAATATATATAAATAAAATATAATATTACTTTTATTTATTTATTTATTTTACTTTATTGTGTATTAATTAATTAATATATAATTAATCTATACTTATAATATTTAATATTTACAAAATTTTCATATACATTAGTTGTTAAGTTATTAATTGATATAATTACTTTTTGATTGAAAAGATTTTATGTTATAAATATTTAATTTTTCTCATTAATATAGTATTAGTACGTAACTCCGTGCAATACACAAGTTGTATTTGTTTTGGTAAAATTTATAATTGAAGGTTATTAATTAAAATATTAAATACATAGAGCATTTGTTAGGTAATCGTAAAACGTTCATCATGAAAAAGTCATACATTATTAAAAACCTCATTGTTTTTCATTCAAAATTATGTTGCACTGGACAACCGTAGATCGATATTTACCAAAATTGTTTTCCACCTGGAAATTGCGAATTGCATAGACACCTCCTTCTTTCAAAATTTTGTTGATTTTCGGAATGTTACCACCACGAAATAAAATTATAGTGAAAATATGTAATATTGTAATAAATACTAAAGATATGATTTATCTGGTGAAGTTTAATTTTATATAGAATATAAGAAAAGTTGTTACCTTAAAGTGTGAATTTTAAGTATATCTTTTTATTTCAATCATTCTCATTTTTTATGCCAAATTCGTTCCAATATTGAGAACAATTTGTTTTTGTTATGTTTAGACGGAGATTTGGAATTTTGATTGTATCTTTTGTAAAATAATATTTACAAAAATAATTACGTTAAAAAAAACAACAACAACGATATTTTATCATTGTAGCTCAAAACTAACTAAATGAATCAGAGGACATGTAAATCACGGTTTTTAAATGAAAAAAAAAATGTTTCATAAATAAATTGATAAAAAAAATGATTCAAAATGATAAAATAAAATAATCGTGATAATATAAACAAAAAAATGTTCACATGAGTAGTGGAATAGTGAATCGAATATTGTGGCAATTTTAAAAAACATATTACCATATTTGAAATAAAATCTGTACATTATTTTTTTACTTTGAGTTAAGTTGCATATATTGCATAAACTATATGTGAAAAAAAATAAAAATTTGAAGTTCAAATATGCGATTTATTATATGTATATAATAAAGTTTAAACTCCAAATAATTAAATTTTATTTAGCATTTATATTATTAATTTTGATACCATGATTATTGTAAAGTCCTACTCTCATTTTTACGGCAAATTTATATTATTAAAATGAATTGATAAGTTTAAACAGATATAGACTGAATTAAAAAGATTGAATCGTGGTTAAATTATTTGATTCTATATATGTACTGATTTTAGAAAAATACTCCATAAGATTTGATTCCATAATAGTACTGCTTTTAAATAGAATTGATTCCAAACATCCAAATTTAGTGTTTAATCAAATATTATGTAGTATCTTTTTTAAAAAATACATCCAGTTGTTAGGAAGTTAAAACTGATTACAATTAATGCTTCAAGATTTGTTTTAAGGAATTGTGTAAAATTACTATAATTAGGATGTAATTAATGCATAATGGTAGAAAATGCTTACTATATTTAAGTCTATTCTTATTTTATATATATAGATTTCACATAAAAGTTCCGCACATAATATTGATACCATATATTTGGTGATAGTGTTGTTAAATTAAACGAACCTAGCTCGAGCTCGACTCGAGTTCGAGGCCTTAGTGAGCCGAGCTCGAGCTCATTTAAAGCTCATTTGGTTTGGTTCGATAAGGCTTGTTAAGGCTCGAACAGAGATTTTTTATATAAATTTTTATAGTTCGCTTCGTTAAGAATCGAGATCGGCTTGTTGAGGCTTGAGCTCGAGACCTTAACGATCTGAGCTCGAACTCAATTTTTGGCTCCTTTATTTAACGAGCCGAGTTCAGCTCGGCTCGATTACAGCCCCACTTGGTGGCAGGTGTTGTACAGCTGTTTTCACCAATTTTTTACTTATATTGTTATCAATAAAATTTAATATTGATATACTAAAATAGTATCTCATTTTTTTTTTATGATAAATAAATTATATCTCCTGAATGTTTATTTTATATAACTTTATCATGTTGATGTAAATAAAATATTATTATATTTATAATTTTAAAAACTCATAGTTTTAAATTATGTTTTAATTTTCTTATTTTATGATTTATAAAAATTCATCTTACGGCTACTATACATAATTTTATGCTAAAAATGTTTTAATAAATAAAAAAAAATTACTGAGTTAAGATTATTCCGATATATTATCGTAAAAAAATAATCAATAAAATAAAAAATTACTCAAATGATTGAAAATTTTATGGTTATCCCGATCTTGATTATAGGTTTATGGGTTTGACATATTCAATAGTCAATACTGACTAATGACCCATGTGCCATAATTTGATATTTCAGTACTTGTAAGAATATTTTGGTATGATAATATTTTAATCATTTTTTAATATCTTAATTTCACTAAAATGTGCTACCTAACCTTAAGTTCAACGAGTATGGAATAAAATTATATCCCATAATCAATTTGGGGTGCATATAGTCTTTAATTAATACATTAATTGAAGTCCTCAGGAAAATGGTTGAATATAAAAGCATATGTAATGTTATTTCTATGTAGCTGAACTGTTAAAAGATCCGTTGCTCATATTTATTTTTAAACAAAAATGTATACTTCTATTGTGAAATATTATAGAATTATTTATAATATTTTTTAACTGTGATTTTGCAATTTGTATCATCCATTTCTGTCTAGTTACAATACACATGGGCCATAGGGCAAAGATGTGAAAAGAAACTGTTAATGATTTTCTCTAAGTTCACACCTTCTTTTGGTTTTGTTGTAAGCTATAAGCGTGGTAGTTCTAAAAAAGCTAAACCATGATTAAACCCCTCTGCTTTTGTCATTACATTTTGTAAATTCAAACTCTATTTCTCTCACTCA